TGACGGGGATTCGAACCCGCGACCCTCAGATTGCGAGTCGAGCACCTTAACCACCTGGCCATGCCGGGCCCACTGAGAGTGAACAAATCTAAATGTTGACATCCACATGCCAAAAGGTGGAGAAAAAAGGGTTTTTAAGGAGAGATAAGGAACAGGATTACATGGACTTGAAAAGAGTAGCTGTAAGGGCATAGAGGATGACAGTAGGATGCCGGGGACAGCAAAGGTAGAAGAAATGAAACAATAGGGTGAGAACTGGAGATGTGGAAACACAGCAAAATCTTGTGAAATGGAAAGTGGCTGAACAAAGCTGCATGATAAGCAACAATGGTGGATACCAAAAGCTCCTTGTCAAAAAGCCAGGTAAGAAAGGAAGTCAGGTGTGGGAGAGTATGATGGGATGGAGGAAAACCAGGATGAAAAGAGCAATAGCAGTTGCCATACCACTTACGTTTGTAAGCTGAAATGGAGGAATGGCAAATGGAATGAGAAATCCAGGAAGCAACCCAAGAGGAAAGTCTGGCAAGGTACAAGACAAAAACTGAGAGGCTTGGAATTTAGATGGGTGAAAAAAGCATTCACTTCCAGAGTATCCTACTGAGAATACATCTAGCTGAAAATCTGTGAGTCGAAGAATCATTCCATGGGGAGAATCTTCCCAGGGCACAATAAATGACCTGCGAACAGATTCAGGACACCAGGTATATGATACGCCAAAAAGTGAATGTGATGGCTGTGGGACCAAAACAGGAGGTCCAAGGTGTTGAAACAAAGAGTCCTCAACTGAGTGTCCCCCTTGCCAAATGACATATGAGACAACCATGGAGTTGTCAAAATGGATCATAACCTACTGGTTACAGAGAGGGATGTAAGTGAACCAAAGCCCAATGGACAGCAAACAGTTCCATGAAATTGATATGCAGAGATAACTCGTCGACAGACCAATGGCCAAAAATCTCCTGCGTGTCTAGATACACACTCCAACCCAAAAGAGAAGCATCCATAAAAAGGTGCACCTCCAGATAGGGAGGAGGAAGAGGAACATCCACTGTGGTGTTGTTGATGTTCAACCACCAGTCAAAGTCCACATGAAGGAAAGGAGGGAGATGAATAAGGGCATCCAAGGAATCCTGAATGAGGTTCCACTGATTTTGTAAAGACCACTGGAGAAGATACATGTGGGCTTGCCCGAAGGGAATGAGGGCTTCCAAAGAAGTCCACATCCCCAAAAGAGACAAAACCTCTCATGAAGTTGGAAAATAAGAATAGGGAATGGTGCAAACCAGAAGTTCCAGAAAACACAAGCAAAGGGTGGGCCCAGCTGAAATGGGAATTGATTACCCTGAGATGAATCAGCTATTGAGTGGGGTAGAGGAAGGACTTCTCCTCCTTGACCAGCCAACATACCTATGCAGCCTCTTGAAGAAGAAACTGAATGTGAAGGGAAGTGGTGACATGCAAAGGAGCTAGAAGCAGTAAGTCATCGAAATAATGGTGGAAATGAAGACCTTGGAATAGAGAAGACAGGCAAGGGCCTTGACAACCTGACAAAAAAAAACAACAACACAGGGAGCCAAAGCTAGCATGAACGGAAGAGCCCAGAACTGGGAGGTGTAACCCCAATGGATAAAATGAAGAAAATACTGAGATATTGATGAGATGGGAATGTGGAGGTAAGCATGCAAGACATCTACCTTAGTCATCCAAAGAAAAAGAGCAAAAGCCCATCAAAGAGATAGGTAGGCCTCTATGGTGAATCAAAGAAGGTCGAGGAAGGAAGAGAGATCAATGATGGGGTGCTAGGCAAACAAATCTTGCTAAGAAGGATCTATTTGTTCTACAGCACTCTTGTGAGAAAGATCTAGAACTGCCTTAGAATTAAGCTGGCTAAAAATGGGATCACGACGAAGGAAGAAGGATATTGGATGAGGGGACAGGGGAGGAGGGGAACTGAAACAAAGAATGAGCCCTTTGGAAAATAACCCACAAAACCCAAAAGTCTGTGGTGAAGAACTCACAAACAGTGGCAAAACACAAAAGCATGGCCTTCACCAGGACCATTGAAGTGGCTAACCTCAGAGATCTGTGTAGCAGGCACTAGTAAAAAGAGAGGAAGGACAAAGACAAGACAAGGGAACATATTCAAGAGGAGGTTGAGACAAATGGCAAATGTGCAGACTGGACTATAGTCTCCAACAGGTTGTGAAGACTCCCCAAAGGAATCTTGCTTGAAAAAGAGAACCATATGCAACTCCCATAAAGAGATTGGGGTAAATACACAGGAGACAAAAGGGCATCCTGATCCAAGAGATCCCAACAACAGAGGAGCTATGTTTGTAAAGAAAGGGTGGAAGAAGACAAGCATGTAAGTGGGAAAAAAACCTTGGCAGGAGTCTCCACTGAAACCCTTCAGGGGAACAATGAAGAGCCTCAAACAGTAGGTGAACTGAGGAAAGGAAATGAAGGAGGGAGGATACATGATGCAGATATGGGAAAATCGAGGTTGTGAAAACTTTACCAAAGTATTGCGATCCAAACCCTACAGAGGCAGAAAAGAATCCAACTGCTGGGAGTCCAAAAAAGAAAACACATACCTATGGCAAGCCATAGCATGGGCTTTCATGTAGATAGAGGCATATTGACCCCCACACATAATTAGACCCAAATATATTAGCATAACCTCCAATATCCAGCAAGGGGGAGGAAGTACAAGATATTGGCCCATAGGTGTCTCACGTAAAAGGGAAGGGGAGGAGTCATAAAAAACAGGGCACAAAGATAAAATTTAACATACCTGGTTTATTAACTCCAGGAAAGGAAGAGGAGGCCTGGGCACTTCCACTGGAGCTATGTTTAGCATAGGAAGGGAGAGGAACCAGGCTGTTCAAAATCATCGTTCTCTTATTCAGGAACACCTGAACAAGGCACGATAGGATAATCCTCAGTCGATTCAGGAGCTTGTGTGAAGTTAGCCAACTCCTGGTCAACCAAAACCGTAACATCTTCTGCTGACAACTGTGGACCCGAAGCCACTGTGGTCAAAGTAAGGTTAAATGTTGTAGGAACAGCAATGGTAGTAACTGTAACATGAAACTCAGAATGGAAGTAAAAAATTCCAAACAGGGAGCTCCAAAGAAACACATATTAGAAGAAATGCCACATAATGCTAATATGTACAAACTCAAATTTCAGAACACAAGTGTAACAAATGTAAAGAACAACTAAGTCCCCCACCAAAAAAAATAACAACAAGGAACTAAGTGAAAATTTGTAACTGAAATTGCAAGTGAAAAACACATCTTAACACCAGAAGTGTCAATCGAGAAGTGAAGTTGGATTAAGTTGCTTAGAGGGAGTCAGCTGTGTTCTTAGTTGGGTTACATTTCTATTGGTGTAGAGTTGTCACATGCTCATTTGCGTGCTATCACATAGCTGCTTCATGTGAAAACACAAGGATAAATGGGAGTATGAAAGCCAGTGGCAAGTAAAAATTTGCACATATAGAGGACAGTGAGATGAGGTAAAATAACATATTGGAAACCATGTAGAATAATTACAAAATAATTGTATAAGTACAGATATTTTCCATAACAACAACTGTTATAAAGTATTATATGTACCAAAATGTAAATTTAAATAGATTCACAAAAAAAAATGAAGAAGCTAAGACCCCAGAAATAGGCAGCAAACTTCTGCTGTAATAATTTTAACATAAAAGATAAAATTGCTTTTATATTATTATTATACTGTACATAACCAAAATAAAAATGAACCTGAGATATGCAACAGAAATTAATATACAGTCCAGCCCCATTTATTTGGTCAGCTGTGAGTCTAAGCAATGAATGGCTGCATAGCAGGGTGGCTGTATTACTGGGTCTCACTGTATGTAGTCAACTCTGGGATCAGACTGAGGCCTTAAAAGCACAATACATACCCCTACAACTTGCCCATAATACTCACCTTTCTATGTTCCTGTTTGATACAGAATGTTGTAATAACATCTTTACAAACCTATTTTTGCATTTCTTGTCTAAAAAATAAAATTCTATACTGTATTATTCATTAAAAAATAAATGCAAAACTTGGGACGATGATGAGCTTCATGAATTTTCCTTGCACCACACAGTATCAGAGGCCAAGGCGTGACACTGTTGTTTATGTGCACATGTGGTGACACCTGGCAGTAATGATACTCAAAACATGAAACAGAGACAATTGAATTGGTCGAAAAAGCAGAGCTCTATTTATTGGAAAATGGAGGGAAAGGTGATAAAACTTGAAATCAGTGTGCAAATTTTCCCTTTTAAACAAATCTTTTGTTCACAAGAAGACCAAAGAGACACCGAACTAGAAGTGTTACAAATGATAAAGTTTAAAGGAGTGTGATAACATACTGTTTGTTTGATCGTGTATGTGTGATTGTGTGGTCATCAGTGCAGCATGAGGTGTGAAGCATAAGGTAGGATTAGCATGCGATTAATAGGGAACATCAATGGTCACCTGGTTTGTAACACCTACAAGATGTGGCCGCTATCAGTCGATGTACAGTAGTAGCCTCGCTTTGATTGACAGGTCTCAATTGAGCAGGGGCAGGTGAGAGCCAGCATGGGTGGCCACAGTACTGAGTTCCAAGAGAGCACTTGGGAGTGGGAAACAGGTGACCACAATACGAGTGCTCATAATAGCGGAAGTTTTACAAATATAAAATGGAAGGAAATATTTGGGTCTGAGCCAAAATGGCTGTAATTAAGGGTTGATTGCTATATCGCATTGACCAGTATGCGGGTCTGGACTGTAGTTCTAATTACCCAAAACTAAATCTAATACGTGTATAATATCTAAATAAAATTTCTGTATTGATAAATGTTGTTAACATATGCATAACTTAGAATTAAACTTTAAAATTTCACTTTCTTTTTGTTCATTGATGGGATTACAATGAAATTAAATTTTTCAAGCTTTGGAATAAGATTCATAAGTAAAAAGCCTAAACTTCTGCTGCACAAAAGAATTGGTGTTGAAACTGTTGATGCCCACATACAATATTTGAAGAAATTTACTCTCAGTTTAACTTCCATGGTAAGGTAAAATTTCTACTTGGAAATTAAATATCATATTAATAAGAAATCTTAATAAATAACAACAACTTACAAAGAAAGAGAGGTTTGATTTTCATTTTTAATTATACTGTCACATTTTAAAAGTAACAAAATCAATTTACATAATTATTTCCAATGTTCCTAAAATCTAATATAATTCATTAGTTTTTCATTAATTGTTCACCTATGGAAATTTTACTATTATGAAAAAGCTATAACAAATGAACACCATTTAAGTTTTTACCTCGTTGATAGTTGTCTCTGTATGGCTTTCTTAGATTCAAATACTTCAATAGGAAAATGAGGCACTTCATAAGGTGCTGAAATCTCATTTCCCATCATGTGTTCTTGGGTATGCTGTAGGATTTTCTCTGCTGCAAGTTTGTAGTTTGAGTTTAAGCCATCATCCATTATAACCTTAGGAAAGTTATAAGCTGGAATTCCAATGATTGGAGAATTGCTTCCTTTATAAATAAATAAATAACATTCCTTTATATATTTCCTATCTTTTAATTACATTTTACAAAATATTACAACAAAAAGCAATAACGCAAGTCAAAATCCTTTATATAAAAAGAGTTAAAACTATGTTCATCTTTTTTTTTGTAGTATTCATTATTGCATCATAGCATTTCAAACACACAAACAACTTTGATGACAACAATATCAGTCGAAATTGTTTTCACAAAATAATGGTAACTCTATAGCTTTATATACAAACCTGTCAGGTCAAAATTCCAAAGAACATGTTCAAGGTATCTAAACATGTGTATCTTGTGAATATATATATATATATATATATATATATATATATATCTAAACAGCAACTGCATAATACCAAGAGAGTAATCAATGCATGCAACTCTAGTTATCACATGTGTTTACAACTAACACAAAACAGTTTAGATGGTTTTATTAGGCTGAGTTTAAAATAAATAAACAAAAAATATTATTTTCCACATAAGTCCATCAAGTTAAAAACAGACAAGTTTTGGATAGTTATGAATGTGAATAATGAAATTAAGCATACTTCTAAATGTACTAATCACTTTATTATAATAATTTTATCCCAATTTTTTTCCCTCTTTTGGTAAATCTTTTAAAATATTACTGACTTGAGAATTTCTATCTCTACATGCAATGCTACAAAGATTCCAATATATGATTAATCCTACTAATTACGTATACTTGTAGTAAACATGAGCAATTACAAGCTGCATTTACAAATATACCAACTTATCTCATTTCAAATCTTAAAGAATAAAAAATTCAATCAATATTACTATTAATATACTCCAAGAGGTTCTACAATTACATATAACTCACATTAAACTATAAAGAGAAATACAAATAAATAAAACAAAAAGCTCTGTTGAGAAAAAGAAGATAAATAAAGATGTAAAAAATGTTAAAAGTTATAAACTATTCATTTGGAGAAACATTATTTGTTTCAATCAAAAATAAAATGTTTTGTGTTTTTAAGTCACCTTTAAATTTAGTTTATAACACTACACAAAGATATGGCATGTAATACATTTTGATAAGTAACTTGTCCTACAAGTAAAACAGAAGGCAACATAAAGTAGTGATGCAACATCAAAGAAAAGAAAATCACGTTAAAACTTCACTTCTTATATTTCTGTGAAAGTTTTAATTCACAAGCTCAGGTTCTTCATAGCTAAGCCCATCTCATTAAAACTTTAATTTTCAGATCTTGTGCAATGTTTTTTTTTTAATAACTTTAGAGGTTCCTACTATAATTCTAAAATATATTATTTTAAAAACACCAACATACTGAACAGACAAAAAATTCCAGAATCAATACAAAACCAAATAATATAATGAATTTAAAAAACTGTAAACACACCAATCTTGACAAAAAGGACTACGAATTTGAAGCCTAAAAATCAAGGGTGAAATAGTTCAATGGCGACTTTTGTCTTACTAATTTTTTTAACTATGTGCTTTTTGATAAAAATTTTCACATCAGTATAGTGGTAAACATGCCATTTTTTGTCAGTAACTGACACACCTATCTACAGTTATCACATACAATAATCTCCATATGCTTTGTACTATGAATGTGAATGATCATCTACATTTACTCAACAACCTAGGTAAATACATATGACAGTAACTTGACCCTTTTATGTACATCAGTTACAATTGCATATATAATCATACCAAACATCAATGCATAATGTGCACAGAAACGTTTAGTTATAGCATTTCTACTGTACAGCTGCATACTAAGGTAGCATAGCTATGTTGCAGAGAAATTGAGTTAGTATGAGAAAGAAATCCATGGGTGAAATATGTAACAGAATACAAAGTCACACTTCAAGTAGTTTCCTCTTTTTTTTTTTAATGTCGTCTCACAATATACTTCTATTATCATTATCTGCTAACCTAAGAATTATGTACAAAATGTTATGCACTTGTACAAACAAGAAATTCCCTTTCATTCCTTACATCCTAATTGCAGACATAACTTCAACATATTATGTACTAGAAAACCATTATCAAATGGTGCTACAGTTAAAGAAACTCAATTCTTAATAGGAGGGTAAACCCTCCCTCAACAGAGATGAAATGTCATAATGGAAAGTCTTTATCATGTATGGATATGTATATATAAACATACATTTGTCAAATAGACACATCCAATCAAAATAATAAAATAGTGCAGATGGATTAAATACAAAAGTTATGGCAGTCTTGTAACATAGAACTACTACTCATGACATTTTCAACCACTATTTAAATCTAAATGCTTTCAATGTATTTGTCATACTCAACTTCACAAATTTCTAATTCTGAAAAACCAGACAGCTGACTTATTCTAATTACTAACATAACGTTTTGGGACAACATGGAAGACCTATTGGTCCATCTTAGCTGTTCCATCATCCTATAAACTGAATCAAAATAATTTTTAAAAATATCTTAAAGCCAGCCCTAAATACTGACAAGTATTGACAACTAAATTTTCTGTCTTAGAATGATAAATCATCTTATGATTTTTTGTCCTTATTATGCCATGTATTTCTTTTTTTAAACACAACACTGAAATTCCTCTTTCATTGAAAACTCACCATTGTTGTCTTGAGCTTCAAATGTCTGATATTCATATGACTCTTCCCTGCCGTAACAGGGTAAGAGAGAGAGACTATCTTCAGAGAGCATTTGTAATGACCAAAAACAATAAAACTGAAATAAAACAATTGAGCAAAGTTCTAGCAAACAATTTTGTGCAAGCATATTTGTCTGTCATTTGCATTTCTTAAAATTCACAACTATGTTCCTATCATTATTTCATGATTTGAACATAAATTTCACCGAAAAATTGTAACTGAATACACAAGTCTAATATCTTATATGTAATTTGTAAAGATAAGTTGTTATTCTGAAATATTCAGACAATTTTAAATAAAGACTTCCAATTATTTTTGTAGAAAATACAAAAACCTACCATCAGAACTAGAAATAAAAGACCTCATAACACCAAAATGTTGTCTTTATTTAATTAGACACTTAACGTTTCGCTTTACAACTTCTTCAGAAGCGTTTACTGAAACGCAAACCGAAACTGACAGTACAAAGTTTTGAACTGTTACTTTCGGTGTGTGGTTTAGTGAACGCTCTTGAATGTAAAGCGAAATGTTGAGTGTCTAATTAAATAAAAACAACATTTTGGTGTTATAAGGTCGTTTATTTCTAGTATAGTTTTATACACCATTATGGACTCCAGAAATTAAAAACCTACTATCTTTTAATTATAGATTGAATCGACAACAACATAAAAAAGGAAAACTCTCCTTAATAAGTATACCTAATATACCTACATAATTCAAAGCTGTAAGTTTTATAACTGTAACAGACAAATATGTGCGTTGTACTCGTTCGTTTACAGAACTTATGAACTCGAACAGCGTTACACATGATATCTGTGAAAGTTTGGTTGTGTAATGTAGAACAAAAAATATCTAGAGGCAAACGGTATTACGTAACATGCCATTCCAGTGTTAAGCACGTTGGTAAATTCCGTAAACATGAAACTTAAACCACCCTTGGGTGAAATTCTGTGTGAAAAGAACCGCTCCTGCGAGTTACACAAAATGCATCGTTAAAATACGTCATAATAAGGTTAAACGAGTATGTACGTGCTGAACTAGACTTTAGAGGTTTTTTTTTTCTTTCATTTAACTTAAAAACGAATTCAGTAAATCATCACAACTTACACGTGGAAATCTATGATTTGTACTTCTGAAGAAAAAGTACGAAGTTTTACACAAGTATTCTAAATTCAGGATTAAAAGAACTAAATGAAAGAAGTCATTTCGGCATTAATTGCCAAGTTTTTCTTAGTTAAAATATAATGCCTTACATTTCTTACATAAGCACTTATTTGGTATCACCACCTATTTCATTTCTGCTGCTAGAAAATATACAATACATGCTGAAATTGTAACTATAAATTTTACTGTGTGATAATTAGCCTAAATCAATTACAAGAAAATAAAAACCCAAATCATGACATTAACTGGGGAAAATGGCGCGACCACAACGATGTAACAATGTACCAGAGAAATCAAAAGTACCTAACACGACAAAATTATACAGTTCAGTCCTGTCACGAGTTATGCTTTCTTTTTTATAGCGAATATCTCCGGTAATTTGCCAGAAAGAACAGCCCCTTTTCACGTTGGTCGCCTACTCACAAATACATGTGTAATTTATAGACATAATATAATACGAGTCGGGACCAATTACACCTTTCTAAACAGGTGGTACTTTAGTCTTCTGTATTAAAGTTTCTTTTATAAGTAGTTTAATGGTACAATATTCTCAGAAGCGCACAGTAAAATGGTGATTAGGAAATTATTCTAACAAAAATCTTCTAAAGATAACTCTATTGATAATGCATGATATCTTGCGTGATACACTTATTAAACTACCTGAGACCCAAGGTAATTTAATCTCGCGTTTTTTGTTGTTTTTGTTTTTTTTAAATAAAACCATTTATAATTGAAAATCTAATCTATTGAACGTAAGCAATTCAACAACGGTTAGAGATACAATAGTGCGCACATTAAACTCCTAAACGTTTTCTTTATAACGATTAAACACCTAACCACCACGGCTGTGATGATTATAAAAGTGTTCTTGTATAATACATATTATACTATGGTTGTAACGTTGTTCTTTCGTTGACAAGTTCTTTTAAATTATATGGTGAAAATAATTCAAAGTCCAGTTCACGTAACTATGACAAATTAGTCATTTCTTTAACGTTTCTACAAGCTTAAACACTGTGGTAACTTGTAGGCCAAGTTTACAACCAAACTAACTGTACTAACCTTACGTAAAAATAAACTTACTTGGACAATTTACCGGCTAATCGATTAAGTAACAAACAAAACACTAATTCACCCCTACCTGAAACCAAAACACACGCTGATTA